TCCACCAATCATTGTATCCAACTAAACATATATCAGCCAATCAGAAGCCGGAATATAGGTGATCAGGTTTTTGATTGGCTGCCGTATTGCCATAGCTGTATTAATATCCGGTGGAAACACGCCTTTATGTTGTTGTTCGTACCAAACTGCAATGCCACAAAGGATCATTATTGACTCACCGATAATCGTAAAGGTGGGTTTCTACGTGATATTAAAATTGCACGTCATAGAACGTCAGCCAATTAGAAACCTGCGTGGATTTCTAATGAGGCTTCTGAATGGCTGCCATTCTACAATGTGAAATTTTAATAGCCATTGAAATTCAAGGTAAACTGGTCAACAAGATTCGGGGAAAAAGCCATTGGAAAGAATCTTAAATTCAACTACATTGTGGAGACAATTATTGCTGTCCTTGATAAAGCTTATTTTACTAAATTTTACAACGATTCTTTACGAAATTTCAACGGGATTTCCCGGCTTAATTACTTAATTACAACACAATGTACTTATGTTGCTATGCATGCCTATTTTTCTAGTAAAATATAATAGCGTAAAAAATTAAGGAAATAATATTTAAATATATTTGAGAGTACAAGGTATTAATGTGTATAAAATAATTTTGTATAGACAACAAAATAGTGCAATTTTTTTCCTTTATATTATCAAGTAATATTTTCTTTATATTATATTCTTATCTTATTTTATATATGCAAGTTATTTTAAAAAAACATATTTTTTTAACCAAACATTTTTCTCAAAGTGTATCTCAAACATTTTTTTATAAAATTTATATGTTTCTTACAAAAAAAAAATTAAATGCAAACAATATCTGCAAGTTATTTAGTATAGAAACAGTATCAACTCTTCTTTCGCAAATCCTCCATATGGTTTTCAAAAAGAGAGTTTTTTTTTTTCTTAAGTTTGGTCAAGTCCTCAAATGACTCCATATACTTAAATGACCAACTCTTGAATCTCACATAAATATGTTTGGAATGCATACTATACAATAATGGGTGCCATTTCTTGGAGCCTTGGCGACCATTTCTATGGCTGTAGAGATATGATAGGGCTCTCTCAGGGTTATGTTGGCACATTCTTATGCTGCCAATTTCCTATTCCTGTCACATGCTCCATTGATTTTAGGTTTATTATTGGGTTATTTTTTCTTAGAGGTGATCGAGACAGTGTTATTTTAAAAAGGAAATATTTCTGTTTTTATCAAAGTACTTTCAAAGACTATATTTTCGTAAGACTTTACTATTTTTTTATCAAAATATTTGTTGTTGTACCTGCTGGGGTTCATACAGATTCATGTGGTCATACAAAGTAATTTTTTTTTTCAAATTTAAATTATATAAATTCATGGCAAACTGCAAGAAAAAAAATTCAAGAAAAACTCACCAAGAAAAATATTTAGGATTTACACATTTTTTTTATGTATATATTTTTGAAATTTGTGAAAATAATTACATCAATAACCAAAAAAATATCATAATAAACAAGTTAAACCAAGATAATATTTAAATTAATAAAAATAAAAAAAATATTGAGGAATAGTAATATAGAAAATGTATTTATAATGAATCTTTTGGTAAAAATACAATTTAACTCATTCGCTTGGCACAATTTCGAAACTCGCCGAAAGTTCTTTTTTTTAAATTTGAATATGTATTCTTAATGATGAATACCTGCATAATGAGTAATTATACAGGTGTGCTAGATTTGGCACATTATCCCCAACCCCCCAAATTTATTTCCAATTTGTTAGTTAAATTAAATTCCAAGCCGTTTCACTTGATAAATTCAATATTAAGGAAGTTATTGAAAATATTCAGATTCCCTTTTTGTAGGAAAAAAGGAGTATGAGGATTAAAGTAGTAGGTTAAATTGCTTATACAAAAAAATGCTGTATCTCTTTTAGCAAGTTTACCATAATAATGTTATAATATTTGGGCAACATAATCAGATAAATTTATTTAGAGAAGACTGGAAAATTATATGTTATTTAAAATATTAATTGACGAAAACTTACATAAATCATAAAGTAATGTCTGAACTTTTTAATAGATATTTTATATACATAAAAATTAAATTCAATTAATTTAAAAGTACATAACACGTTAAGTTTACACTTAAAAATGCATGTTACTAAAATATTTTACAAGCATTCAAATTTTAAATTTTCCAACGCATACCTGAATTTTGTTTTTAAATTTTAAGTATTTAACGCTACAATATTGAAATAATATATATTTAATATAAAATCATATGTAAAATAATTTTTAATGGGAAATTTAAAATATTGCATCAGAGTATTATTAAATTATTTAAACAGATTTTAGGATAATTGAATAAATCTTAATGCATTATTTAAAATAATAAAAAGAAAATATAAAAACTTTTTTATTTATACAAAGCTTTTAAAAAATCAGTGGATCTTTCGTGCTTTGACCAATGAAAAGCAGCCGATAAACAGCATGGTTAAATGAAAGCTTAATTATGTTTTCTCCTTTTATAAAGATATGCATCAATTGCTTCGTGATAATATAATCAATTCCTTTAGCATCCATTTAATACTTTTAATTATAGGTTTTTTCTCTATATGCCAATGTTTTTTACATATTAAACACATAATTAAAATGAAACACACTTAACGGCTTGTCGAAACCGACAGATCTCAATCGATAATTATTTCCTCTAATTTCAAAGCATGCGAGCATTGCTTACAAGTACTTCCTTTTTTTTTTTTTTTTTTTTTTTTTTTTTTTTTTTTGTAACTTTATAGTTTAGGTATTTTATTTTACAATATATAGTGTTGGTGGTGTAGAAAATATATATGCATGTTTTCTGCAATATATTGTTAAATTTTAGGTAACAGACAGGACAGGAGCTGTTGGGATTTGGCGACAAATATTTGTTTCGCCAAAGTGCAAGCAAAAAAATATTTTTTTTTTTTATCTGACAATGTTTTCACTTATTAAACACATAATTAAATTGGAACACATTTAATGAATTATCGAAATCATCAGATCTCAATCGATAATTATTTATGCATTTTTCTGAATAATATTAATAAATTTTTGGCTAAAATCACAGACAGGAGCTGTTGGGGTTTGACGTCGAAAATTCTTTTCACCAAAGTCCACTAAATAATAGATTGCGATTCTAAGTGAAGTGAATTGCAAACAGTATATGAAACCCGGGTTCCCGGCGACTAATCATTCAGTTGGCGCACTAAAAAGTCGCCAAATTACAAAGGCCCGTATTTTGCGATATGGCCAAATTTTACAGGGAAAAGGGTCATTTTTCTCTTTTTTTTTAGATATAATTTATCAGTAGCATATTAACTTTTTTTCATATTAACATTTAATTTTGATAAGCATCGATATATCTATCATTTACTATTTGAAATATTAATTATTTTTTTTGTTTTATGAGTATTTATTAAAATATATAATATATAAATATAAGATTGGGTTCACAGTGTGGATTCGGGTTAGAATAGCCTCACTGTAGTCCATGCATGTCGTAGAAGGTGACTAAAATGGGTACCCAATACCTGGGGATATAAACGTGTGGGTAAAGTCACACTTCTCCCTTTGGATGCCCATGTCTTTGTGCTTCAAGGTCAAGGACAAAAAAAAAGCTGCATTTTTTACCTTTTATCATGAATCGTCGGTTTTAGAATTTAAAGTCTTGGAGCGGTTTTTCATTGTTTGAGAATACACCGGTTCATGGACTTGGTTTAGATGTAATAAGAAACATAAGATTGTGTGCAAAGTATTTAATGACAATTAATTCTCAGAATATCATATTTATGGAATTTATTACTTCTTAGTCATTAGACATTCATTTAAATTTTTTTTTATTAAATCTCTTAAATATTATTATATTATAATCATAATTTTAATTGATATCTAGTTTAAGCGAAACAAAAAAAATAATAATAAAATACAGGTTTTTATCACAAAAGGTTTAAAATCTAATTAGCTTAAACTTTTCAATACACTGTAAAATATATTAGTTGTTTTAAACGAAATATTATTGCATGATAAATCGAATTTGAAATTTTTTTTTTTCAATAGTACTAGTACCTACTAGTAGTTCCTCTATTAGCTCACCCTCTCCCTATATATATCTTGTTCACATTTTCAATCGTTCATAAAATACTTTTTATTCATCCACTCAAGTTTAAAAAAATGTATTTGAACTGGTAGCCTATGGCACTTGATGTTAATACAGTTTTTCAAATATTAATTCATTCATTAAATTTAATTAATTTTAGGTGTGTTTTTTTAGATTTAAGTTGCATGTATCTATCAATAGAAACAAATGAAAACAAACCATTGTTTTATGAAGTGTGCTTCCTTCTTTCTTAAAAAGAAGCAACAGAGAACAGTTCTTCTAGAGAACTGCGACTGTGAATGCAAAGTGGATATTTTACGATAATAGTCCCCATCATAGAGAAGTAATAAAATAGACAGTGCTCCCCTATTCGGAGAATGTTGATGATCCCATTTCTTTTTGGTGCCAAAACTGGCACTACATCGTTGCATCTTGTTGATTTTGTCCCCTTGCATTTTCTCAAAAAGACGATTATACATTTTTTTTTAATATATTTGTTAACCAAAAATTTACAATGACACACAAATAAATTATATCTCTCAGCAATAAAGAAACAACAAATGCACTTGATAAATTATACAAATTAATATGTGTTGTTGTTGTTTCTTATCCCACTTGGCTTGCCAAGCCCACGAGCCCATACATACTCATGATTGAAGGGGAAGAAAGCAGCTTCTGTTGTGATGGAGCACCCGTAGGTAGAAGTCGGATTTTGGCTCCGTGACGCTCTTACAGTCATAGGAGACCGGGACCTACGGCTTAAAGTGGATTCCGAACCACTACAAACATCCATGGTACAGCCGGGATTCGAACCCGAAACCTGTGGCACCGAGCGCCAGACACTCGGCCATTCAGGTCCCAAATTTGTGAATGCCAACGGCACGCGGTGTTCCCCGGTAGTCACCCACCCAAGTACTGACCGCGCCCAATGATGCTTGACTTCGGTGATCTAACGGGAACCGGTATATTCAGCATGGTACGGCCGTTGGCTTGTTAATATGTCTTTTATAACATGTAAAATATCAAAAAATTAAATAAACAAATAAATAATTTTCGCTATAGAATATAAAAGATAAATATTTAAAAGCATCCAATGTGCATTTTGTTAGAGTTTTAAATGAAATCATTGTTATATGGTATGATGGGACTTTCATTTTTCCCTATCTCGCCAACATTATAAATTACCTCCAAATGACGACTGTTTCTATTAAGTTACAAAACCATAAAATACTTGCCTAAAACTGATTTTAAGTGGGTTATAAATTGGATCAATAAGTGAGTAATACTATGAATATTCATCAATATAAAATTGACCAATCTGTAATTTAATTGTATTTTATGTACCAGTCACGATGTTCCCGGGCCCAGAGCAGGCGCAGTTGGCGATGACGCTTGGTCAGCAAAGGCACACGAGTGGGACGTTTGTTGCGTAGCCCCATATCCAACAGTGTCCGCTGAACAGTGTGCTCCGATACTATTCTAGTTGGCCCTGCATTGTATTGGGCCGTCAGCTGAGCCACTGTCTGGCTCCGGTTTTGCTTCACCATGCGGGACAGTCTCCGACGATCTTTTTCTTTGATAGCGTGTGGACGTCCAACACCATGTTGTCTACTGCTGGTCTCACCGTCATTCATCCACTTTGCATAAGTACTAACAACTGTAGATCGCGAATAACCCACGAGTCGTGCAGTTTCGGAAATACTTGTTCCGATCCTTCGAGCCATTACAACCTGCCCTCTATCAAAGTCGCTTAGAACCGCAGCCTTTCCCATCACACACAGAAGTAAGTGAAAGAATGATTCTTCAGATTCTCCAGCAGCAGTTAAATACCACTTCCACTTGATCACGTGCCTTCCAAGTCATCCAGGCGAGTTCATTGCAAAATGTAGGGGTGGTCATAATGTTTTGGCTCTTGAGTGTAGAGCAGCATGATAAATTTACCATGTGGGTCTGTGATACAGGCTACAATATAAAATCAGATATGAATTACATAATACTCAATAAAATTGCGTTAAAAATATTTTATACTCATTCTATATAACAAATGAGTCAATTCTTATGATCCTGTGGAAAGCAGGGACTATTTTTTACAAATTTCCCCCACAATTCTTATTTGAACTAGTGGAATGAATAAAAAATGTTCTTGAAATGCACTTGTACACACGATCACTTATATTTTAAACTAGAATGTTGACATAATATTTCTGTGGTGCGCAATCGTTAAAAATTCATGAGTTACTTCAAAAAAGAAGACACTTTGCATCAGAAGAAAACATCAACTGAGGGACAGTCTTCTGTTACCGCGACAGCACATTCTTTCCAAAAAGTGAAACAACAATTATTGTAACAGATGCATGACGAACTGCACTAGAAATGAATTTATACTGATGTCCAATGGGTGTCGAACGTACGGCCAATCCACAGCTCAGGAAAGGAATTGCGCATCAAGCACCGGAATTCTCTTCGAAACACGACACTATTTCCAGTACCAAAGACATTTTTTAGCCTATGAAATACTTTACCAGCAACATATCCTCCGTATCATCGCCAGATCTATTGATTTTTATTTATAGACAAGGTATAAATTATCTTGCCAAGCATTGTCAACAATGTTTGTTATTGAAGATTACTGGGGGCTGTTAGTACTTTCTTTTACTATCATCGACCGTTTAATTTGTAAAAAACCTATAATTTAATTACACACTTTGAAAATAAATTTTTATATTGATCTGGGAACATGATGTTGTCATGGTTAGAGATTCGTGACGTCTCCAAAAATATGAAGCTATGAATTGAAATGATGATTAAATGGATTACGGAGTGCTTGGCCCGTAGGGGCCCATAGCTCCTGTCTGGCATGAGAGAGCATTGAAAAATATAGAACATAACTATTTATAGGCAATGGTCCCGCCTATAAGGGGCGGGGTTAGTGCTATTGGCTAATGAGGAAGAGGGAAGAGGAGCTTAGTGCCTTGGGCTTCAGAGAGAGAGTCGTTTATACCGTTGCTTGGTTTAGAAGGGTTAAGAACACCTTCATGATGTCGGTGCTTGATGTCGTACAGGAAATCAATTCCGCTCAGCGATTGAAATAGGGTTGAAATTTCTTTTACAATGTAGATAATCTTGGTTAGGGAATTTAAGTCCTCATTAGTAGGGATGATTCTTTGTGGGTTTTCAGGTTGAGTTGGGGAGATCTTCTGGTGTTGATTCTTGAGTGCGTCAGCGTAAGAGATCCACTCATCTATGGGGCTGGAAGAGAATTTTTTTTGGTGGAGTTTCGGTGCTTGACGGAGGCTTGCGTGTGGCCTTTTGGAACATGGCGCAACCTTTCCAGAAGGCTAGGTGACCCTGCTTTCCACAGTTTATGAATTGAAATATGAAGCTATGAAATTATTATTTAAAAGAGATTCATCTCCTAGTGTAATACGTAGAAACTTTCGTTTCAAAAACTTTTATTTAAACATGAACTCTGATTTTCGCAAGATTTTATCTATGTTTATGTTAAAACCGGCATGAAATATGTGTTGCTAAATAATAACGATTGACCCATATCAAGTCACGTTCTCTGTAGTTCATTCTGAATTGTCTGGCTTTCAAAATACAAACAGATTAATAAACAGATTGCTTCAACATACTCAAAATCGTGACAAAGATTAAATTATGTTGATAAAAATTTAATTTAACCATGACTTAGCAGATTTCTCTGTCTGAATTGGGTCTCTTGTAGTATTTGAACAATTGCTTCTTCGCAAAATTCTAGAACTATTCAATTTTATTATATTCCTGGCACTACTAAATCTGATAATTCGTGTGGTGATCCTGTACTTCAGGGTTACGATTTCGCCAAGTCTTTTTTCCACTCCAAATAGAATCCTCAAAATCGCAAGTCGTCGTCGTCGTCTTTACAGGATATCGGAGTGCCCTGGCCCCGATGGGGCCTAAAACTCCTATCTCTATTTGAGAAACATTGATGAAGGAAACAACATTGATAATTAAAAGGAGGTGAGGTGATTTAAGAGCAATGTGCCATGTTAAAATATATATTGAAAACATAAGCAAAGAAAAAATTAATAAAATAGCTAATAACAAAGAGAAAAATAAAGTAAAAAACAAAAATTAATAAAATAAACAGAATAATTAAAGAATCCAAAATTTAAAAGGAAAAAAAGGAATCTACAGTAGGATAGGATTTTCGTTGCTAGGAATGAAGACTAAAAGCACAGAGGACAGGACGACAACTGAGCCAGTTCGTCTAGGAGCTTTGCAAGTTGTGAAGAACAGCCCTTGGGCGTTTAGCATTTTCCGGAAGATGGAAATCGCATCTCGGAAGATTACGGATTTCATCATTCGGGATGTGTTCAAGATTTGCATAGAATTTTTCTGCAAGCTTGAGCATGAATTTTTGAATAGAGGGGAGGGCAAGACAGTGACGAATGTCATCATTCCTACAATACCAAGGAGAGTCAGTAATCATTCTTAAAATTTTATTTTCAATTCTTTTGATGTAGTTGATGTGGTATTTTGCAGCGGAACCCCAAACTGGGCTAGCATATGTGATGATGGGACGCAAATAGTACATGTAAATAATTCGTTTATTATCTAAGGATAAAAGGGATTTTCTATTAATGAATGGATAAAACATGCGTATAGAAATATTATATTTACGTTTAATGTGGTTAATATGATTAGAATATGTTAGCTTACTATCAAGGTATACTCCTAAGTAATTTAGTATTGTTAGTCCAGCTAATTCAAAATCGCAAGTTTTGTAACCACAGCTGCCATTTTGTTTGTTAGGGGACTTGGCGACAATCGCAATGGAAAAAAAATTGCCAAATAAGGAAACGAAACCCTAAAGTGCAGAAATCCGTTGTATTATTTTAGGCCATTTTTTCGTAATTTTCTTGGGTTATTGAACATTGGTATACAGACCCTGTACATTCGTCCAGCAAAGTAGATTCACACATAAATTAAAATTCGTGAAAAGATTTAAATTTTTAATTTTCTTTCTCCTTTTATGACTATAAAATTATTTATTTCTATTTATTTATTTATTTCAAATTATTTTTTAATATTTACTTTATATTATTTAAATATGGAAATTAATTTATATAAAAAAAATCAAAAGGTAATAAGAAAATATCTACTTTTATTTAATGCAAAGTTGTGTTATACTAAATAAAAAAATACATAAAAACAGAGTTAGGTTCAAAAGCTATAAAATAGAAAAAAGGGGGGATTCTTTTAGATTAAAATAATGGCAGATCAAAAGTATAACTTATTAATTTGCATAATATTTTCTTCCTCATCACGTTTAAATATCATCCATTTTTTAATACATTGCAATATCTGTATTTTATTTTATTTATTTATTTATCATTATTATTGTTCTATTATTATTATACAAAAACAGTCTTTATGATTCCAACAGACATTATTTATAGCTCCAAAGTAATTCCCTAAAAAAATATATCAACGTTTTTTTACTAAATGATTAATACTTCTACTTACTACAAAATGTTCACGTCAGTTTATAATTTAAAAAAGAAAGAAATCTTAAAAACTATAAGCATAATTAATAGTCTACGAACAAACTGAATTTAAAATTCTAACATGATTCAAGATCTCTGTACGCAAATTTAACACGTGCAATTTTAATATCATATAAAAAGTTTTTAATCAAATATTATACTCTTGAATCGCATTAGAGCAAAAACGGGCTCCAAGAACATCGTGTAACAGTAAACAGTATTTGAGGGATAACTTTATAAAGGCTTTCCAATTCTCCATTCATGTTAGAGAGAATTCGCATTTTATATTATATGAATAGGGGCCCTGAATGGCCGAGTCTGTGGCGCTCGGTACCACACGTTTCGGGTTCGAGTCCCGGCGGTGCCATGGATGTTTGTAGAGGTTCTGAATCCACTTTAAACTGTAGGTCCCGATCTAATGTGATCGTAGAGCTTTGTGGGGGCATTGTTACTCCG